GAACGAGGCTGAGGACAGGGGGAGTTGCAAGGCCAGCGCAAAATCAAACAGGGCACTTAACCGAAGCAGGTCTTGTGCTGAGTGCTCTGCATGCTGCATGCAGCACTGGCGCGATGCGATGCTTGCCTCAAGCAGCTGGATATCCCGCGCATCCACACTACGAGTGAACCCCTTGTGCCGCCCCTCCCACCGGCCAGCACCATCCGCAGCGTAGACCATCCATCCAGCAGCTGTCTGAAACTCATTGCACGCTGAGTCCACGTCTGTCAAATCTCGCGATACCCAAGTGCTGCCTAGAACCCATGGGCTGTTGCACAACCTGCGTGCGTGCACGATCGTGTCCTCAGGCGAAGGAGAACTCTGCCCGTGCGCTGGCCAGCGTGGCGGGGGCAGGAATGCTGCGCAGCGGAACGCCACAGGCCAAGGCCCCCTCGAAGCCAGAGCTGGGCAGCGGCAGGGACGGCAGGCTCGCGCGACAGCGCGTGGCATGCATCTCGCTGCTCAAAGTTGTCGTCTGAGCGTTCCTGATCCCAGCTTAGGTCGGGCATGTCCCCCTACAGGCGGAGCTTGGACAACAAATGTGAAAGAGTCAACACATGCCCCCAAACGATCGAAAATAGTAGAAACATCGTCCCCAGACTATTTTCTCACTATGTTTGAATACTCCTCCTGTAGAGGGACATGCCCGACTTAATGTTACCAGGGAAGTCGTGGCTGCACGTCCCGCGGGGACGCAATAGCCACCGGGTCGTGAGGTCAACACCCCGTGCAGAGGGCCGGTCCTAAAGGATAACCGAAGTTACGGTCAATCATCACGATGAGGATGCGCGGTGAGGATGCGCGGTAAGGATGCAAAGCCATGTCGACGCTGTTGGGGAGGGGCGCGGGCAGCGAACGCGGACAGGGATGAGCCGAAGGGAAATGATGCAAGGTATGCAAGGGCCTTGGAAGGCCATGTCGACGCTGTTGGGAAGGGGCGCGGGCAGCGAACGCGGACAGGGATGGGCCGAAGGGAAAGGATGCAAGGGATGCTAGGGCCTTGGAAGGCCATGTCGACGCTGTTGGGGAGGGGCGCGGCCAGCGAACGCGGACAGGGATGGGCCGAAGGGAAAGGATGCAAGGGATGCTAGGGCCTTGAAAGGCCATGTCGACGCTGTTGGGGAGGGGCGCGGACAGCCAAAGCGGACAGGGATGGGCAGAAAGGGAAAGGATGCAAGGGATGCAAGGGCCTTGGAAGGCCATGCCGACGCTTTTGGGGAGGGGCGCGGACAGCGAAAGCGGACAGGGATGGGCAGAAAGGGAAAGGATGCAAGAGCACCCTTGGGAAGGTTGCCCATGCTTGCTATGCGGGTTGACTGCGCCAGGGTGCAGTTCGAAAAAGGATAAGCACAGGTCAGCTTCAACAAGCTTCAATCTACGACCCCGCGCTCTGAGCCGCGTCGCCAGAGCCGTGCGAGATGCCATCCCTTGCGACTCAGACGCCTCCTCACGAGTGTTTTCACCGCCTCACCTCGTGCAACGTCAGATATAGGCTGCTGTGCATCTTGTAATTCGACGGACCGCCCAGGATTGAACGAAACCTGAATCCGCATCGCTGCCCCCTCGCCTGAGCGGCCTTTCAACTCGTGCATGTGCCTCACTGATGCGATTCCTCAACAGTGGACGCCACGCCGGAGACATCAGCGAAAAAGGAGTCTTGCGTTTCAGCGAGAGCCCTGGGGGTAAAATGATGACCTTGGCTTGAACAAAGTCTCGGAAGACGAACAGAAAGAGAGAGAGAGAGAGGGGGAGGCGGAGGGAGGACAGGAAAAGAAACTCGGCCACAACAGATAGGACGAAACCTCCCATCCTTCTGCCAACTCGACTCCCTGGGGAACCCTCCGCGCCCCACGCATCCCCCGCTCTCTCCCGCCGGACCCAAGCAGAGGCTGTCTGGATCTTCCACTATCCTACCTTCCGCTGGCGCTCATGCTGTTGCTTCCTCATCATCCCCCACATCGTTTTCCCCCTCTTGATCCTCCTGCAGCCAGCTCATCTTCCTCCTGCTGGCAACACTCCTGCTGACTGGAGTGCTCTCTTCCCCATCGCCCCCCGCTCTCGTACGCCTCCATCGCTGCAAGCCCACCGCTTCCAAGATAAGGGCCCCTCTCGACACTCGAGCGCTCGAAAGCAGAACGGCTCCCGCACCGAATGCCAAGGCCGCTGAGCTCGCCCCGCCGACCACGCCATCTCCTCCCGCGGGCGCGCGCTCGGAACGACCCCCTGGAACCCCCTCGCGCGCCACTGCGAGCTCACAAGAGCAGCAATAGCCGCCACCGCACTCTGCCTTATTCATTCCCGACCCTTCGTTGTTCGGGGCATCCGTGATCCACGCCCCCCCCATCACATCGACAGAGGCCTCCCAGATGGGGTCCGAGCAAATGGTGTCGGAGTATCGCACCGCATCGCCGATGCATCAGCGATGCATCGGCGAAGCATCAGCGATTGTTATTGAATTGAAAGACCAGAAGGGAAAGTGCACGCCACCAAAACGGTCACACTTGAGACAGCCACTCTGGCTCAAAATCGTGGCCGCCACCAGAGCGACCCTAAGAATCCAAACTACCTCAACTACTTGCCTGCAGAGGCTTCTGTCAAACGAATCCTCAAACTTGTGGCCGCCACCAAAGCGACCCTTAGAATCCAAACTACCCCAACGACTTACCTGCAGAGGCTTCCTTCAAACGAATCCTCTCGACCAGAGCAGCGGAGGAGGAGAAGGAGGAGGAGGAATAAAGGGAGGCAGGAGCAGAAGCGAGAGAGGAAAGAGGGGGAGGGCAGTCCCGACCCCGTTAGGGGACGGACAAAGGATCCTAAGCAAAGCCTCGGACCCACCCGCAGAAACGAAACAGGGGGGGAGGAGGCACAGGGCGGCGAAGGAGAGGAAAGAACGGAGGAGAGAAGGAGAAGAAAAGAAACACCATCAAAGCCACTATTCACACGTCCCGTGTGAAACTCGCGGGGCGGCGGCCGCCGGCGAGCCAGTGCCAGATCAGCGAGGCACGATAGAGATGGACATCATATATAAAAAGGAACCCACGCCTGGAATCCTCATGGTAGCTATGGGAGATCGACCACGACGAGCGTCGATACCAATGCTGCCGTCGATAAGCATCCGTGCAAAGAGCCCGCCGGCCCCCCAGAACGGCCTGAGAGGCCCCTGCACCGAGGAACACCCTCGAGCGCGGGGGCCCTCCGGGCAGGGGCGGGGAACAGGCGGGAGGAGGAGGAGGAGAGGGGAAGGAAGAGAAACAAACTACCGCGACCCTTGGCGGAGGAAGCAGCGGAAAGCCCCAAGATACTCCTGGGGGGCGAAAAGGCAGTGGCGAATGCTGTTCTGAAGGCGAAAGAGAGCGTAGAGAGCGCGAGCGCGCTGCAGGAGGGGAGGTTCCCCATCCCGTTCTGTTTGGTCGGTGCTCGACTGCATTCACATGCGAAATCAAACGCCCAAGCCGCATCCACGGCAGGCCAATTAAAGCTGGCAGCGAAAAGGCCACCAACAACCGTGCATCGTGCATAATGTTCGAGGCTGTCCTCGCAGTGGCCGCAACTAAATATGCACCTGCCAATGCCTTGAAAGCAGCGTTGGGTACACCACTCGTTGCAGATGGTGCGGAGGTAAGCTGCTTTCACTTTCGGCGACGCGCGGCTGTCAAGCAACCTAAAAACTTTCGTCGCGCATGCGGCGCGACGCCCGGGCGGCGTGTTCATGTGCCACCGGTCGAGCCGACGTCGCAAATGCAATTGCGCCGAACAGCGAGGCGTGGTGCGAAACGCGGCGGTCACCCGCCCCTGCCAGCCCTGCCGCCGCGGGTTAACCAATCTGTGCGCAGGGAGGTCTGTCGCCTTGGCGCGGAGGGCAGGCACACTCGGCCGCCGCCAGCTTCGAAAGGAAACTCTGCCCCGCCCACCGCCTCCACCAACCCGCGTGGCCGAGCGAGCAGGTGGAGCGCACGGCGGGGAGGAGCGCGGCCGCGCGCACATGGACGTTGAGCCCACCGCGCGCGAGGCTCTCAAACATCGCAGCCCACGCCTCGGCGGCAAACGCCGTCGCGGTCAAGTCGGCCAGCTCGCTGGGAAACTTTCGACTACGGAGGTCCTTGAGGTAGGGAGTGATCCATCCCCGCGGCCCTGGGAGCCGCGCCCGGCATGCCTTCGACTCAACACCATGAAAATTCGGTCCTCGAGTTGGGCAACAAAAGGAAGGACAGAACAGACATACACCGCGATCCTCCGACCCCATCTGCTCGGACCCCATCTAGGAGGCCTAGGATCGAGCCCAGCGTGTGCCCGATGGTCGCTCCACGTCCCCGCCTTCTGCGCCCTCCGTGGTAAGGGGGGAGGTACCAGAGAGAGAGAGAGAGAGAGACGGCTCCTGGTGGGGCGCTCCTCGGAGACCCCCCCCTGCCCCCCCCCTTTTGGCGGCGAGCGCGGGGGGGAAGTGAGAAGGGGCGGGTCTTCTCGGAAGGCGCAGAAGTCCCGTGGCCTTCTGAGAAGTCTCCTGGGCCTTCCCCCAAAGACGGCGACAACTTCTCAGAAGGCGCGAGGGCTTCTGAGAAGTCACGCCGCCTTCTGAAGAGGCCTTCTCCTTCTCACTTCCCCTCCCCCTCGCTCGCCCCACTCCCTCTTGCCACGGGGCCCGCGAATTGCACCACGGCAGCAGCACTCCGGACGCTTCTAGAGGCCTCCTGGATGGGGTCCTCCTCCTAGGAGGCCTTCTAGAAGGAGGACCCCATCTAGAAGGCTTCTAGAGGCCTCTAGATGGGGTCGAAGTATCGCGCCACATCGCCGATGCATCGCCGATGCATCAGCGAGGCATTGGCGATGCATCGGCGACGTTGGCGATGCATCGGCGACGTCGGCGTGCGGAAACACGGTCTCCACATCGAGCTGCATCGTCGATGCATCGGCGATGCGGCGCGATCCTCCGACCCCCTCTACTCCGACCCCATCTGGGAGGCCTATTGAAATTCATTGCCCGGGCCTGCGCTGGCCGATGGGCAGCGCCGGCGGCCGCCCTCGCAGCAACATTGCACGATGCGCGGCGTCGATCCACCACTCCGGGCGAGTGGCCGGACCAGAACGGTGGCTTCCAGCGAGCCGCGTGCACCGCGGCGCCGCGCAGCTGCCGTGCACGGTCCGCGCGTTGAAGGCCCCGCAGGGTACGCACTGAGGGGGAGAATGGCAGACGAGCTCGGCAAGGCCTCACCGTGCGCGAGATGTCCTCGAGGACTGCCCGGCAAGCGCGTCTGGGGGAGGTTGAGGCCCTCCTCGGGGGCGCGCAAACATAGGTTAGCGATCCATGGATTCGGCGCGCGGTCGCCAAATCCATGGATCGGGGCAGGTGCCCCCCAAGATGCGGCCGGTGCCGCCTCGCTCGGCGGCGGAAGTCCTCGATTTCCCATGGAAACGGGACCCGTCGCTAATCCACGGCCCCTTACCAGCGATGGCCTCAGCATGGCCACAACGTGTGCCCTAGATTCCTCGAGGACCACGCGGGAGCCGCGTGCAAGGGGTGCCGGGGCCCTATCCGCGAGGGCCTCCACACGGCCTCAAACGCGGGCTGGATGTCATCGGAGACGATTTGGGGATCACTTCAGCAGGAGAAGGAGGAGGAGGAGGAGGAGGAGGCGGAGGAGGAGGAGGAGGAGGAGGGGAGGAGGAGGAGGAGGAGGACGAGGAGGAGGAGGCGGAGGAGGAGAGGGAGGAGGAGGCGGAGGCGGAGGATGAGAGGCCCCTGACGCGGGCCCGATACCAAATCTTCAGAGCAGTGCCAGGGCCCCGACCTGCGGGCCCCGGCGTGGCCTCCGCGCGGGCGAAAGGTCCGCTGGGCGGCGGCGGCGCGGGCGCGAACATCTGCAGCTGCGGCTGGAGGACTGCTGCACTCCAAGGGGGTCACGCACAGGCTGGCGTCAGGCCAGACTCACCCCCTTGAGACGGCGCAGATGAAACATGCCAATCTGGTGCGCTGATCCTCTACGACTTGCTCATGCCTGCAGCTTGCCATGTCCACGACGTCGATGGTCTTCTCCTGGACTTCCTTCCCCCCCTCCACGAATACCCACTCTGAGTACTACTCTCCTCTCCCCCGAAGATGGCCGGGGAGTGGCGCGATCCCATCCGCACATTGCTTTGCAGGGTAGGCCCAGAGCTCGTTCCACCTTCTGGCAGAAATCCCCGCAGATAATTGCTTGAGTTCGCAGCTTGTTTTCAGAAGTTCCTTTCCAGAGCTCTTTCGACGGACCTTCCAAAGGCTTCTGTTCCCTCGCTGTCTTGGTTTTGGACACAACAAGCTACCACAAAATGGCCGAGCTGATTTCCTCATGCGTTGTCCCTATCAGCACGTTTTTGGTCCTTCCAAAGTGGTGCTCCTGCTGCAGCGTGGGCCTCAGCGTCGGATCGGCACTTTGCGCCCGACGTTCAAGAAGGCGCTCTCGCCCTGGCGCAGGCCAATTTTCCGAATCCGAGTCAGTTCTTCATCGTAGTGGCCCCCCTCCTTTCCCCTCCTCCGTCCTTCCCTCTCCCCTCCTCCTCCTCCTCCTCCTCCTCCTTCTCCTCCTCCTCCTTCTCCTCCTCCTCCTCCTCCTGCCCGTCCTCCTGCTCACCCGCCACCTCCTCTTTCTGATTGAGCAGCTGCCCTAGTCCAATTGCGCATAACACGATGGGTCTGTCTGTTGGAGCTTCAGGCCAGAAGTGCCACGCGTCCGCGGGCAGAACCAACATCAGCGCAATGGGAAGGGATGGGAGGGAGGGGTAAGATGTCAAATGTGGCGAGAGCGCACTTAGCTTGCCCACTGCCCCTCTCTGCCCTTCCCCCAACCCACTTGAATTGACACAGATTAGAAGGGAAACTGTCGGTTCTGGCGGCGAAGGGTGGCAAACCCGTGGCTGCTAGAACGGAGCTCCGGGAAATTGTGATTTTCTTCCGGGAAGCAGCCTGTTTACTACTTAGCGCGCTGAGGTGCATTCCGGGATTTTTTCTTCCGAGAAGGCCGTTTTAGCTACCACGGATTTGCCAGCCCTCGCCCAGCTTCCGAGTAAGGGTACGTGAGCGGCTCGCCTAAGCAAGACCGCCACTGATCTGCTATGCTGAACTCCCAGAGCCGTGCGCACACCAGGGGGCGAGCGGGCGTCCAGCTGGCAGATCAGGACGGAACGGCCAGGCCCATGGCCCGTGGGGGCAAAACATGCCCTGCAATACAGTGGAGGCCCGTCCACAAGAAACCTTCTACAAGAAACCAAACCCTGAGACCCCAGGACGTCCATCGATTTTCGGTGTGCGAACGTCACGCTTTCCATCGCAAAACCATCGAAACCCAAGAAACCCAGGGCACCCTGGATGCAAGCATGTTGTTTCTTGGTATGGGCCCCATTGTAAGGAAGCGCAAGCCAATTCAGTCCGTATACTACCCAACATTGTAGCTTCGTTAAACCAGCTGACGTCGCCAGAGGCGCCTCTGGCTCCAAGAGTATCCATGAGGCGGGCGAGGCCAAGGCAAGCCAAGCGGTATCATTGGCATCCCCGACATGACTAGAAGCTTGTTCGGAGGACGCGGAACTCCTTCAGAAAGTCCGATCCCGCGAAGAAGGGCAGGGGGCTGAGGTTACAGATGCGGGATCTTCCACTGTCCAGCTGGGCCGCCAGGCATCCCAGCACGTCGTAAAGGCTTCGGCCCCCACCCCTCACATTCTCGAATGTGCTGTCAAGTCCTGGATTTGCGGTTTTGCCTCTTTCGGCTTCCATGGGTGGCACCATCTTGTCTTCGATACCATACATCCGCACCGCTCACGCCACACACACACACACACATTAGGCTGGTCCTCCAAATCAACGTAACCGCTTCCACTGATAAGCACCTTCACTTTTTGTTCCGTGAAGTGCCCCACTGAGCCTCATGCCAATGAGCTAACGGTGGTGTTCCAAAAATCATGGATCACCCCCCCCTTCTCATCGAAATACGTGTCCCCAGCCCTGGCCTTCGCGAAATCACCCGTCTCGCTGATCTGTCGTCGTCGTTCGCATCACCCAGCACCATGCCTATCGTGGTACTGCCGCGCTCAAATGCTCGCCCGTACTCTTTGTGTTCCTGTCGCCCGTACTTGTTCGCTGCAAGGGATCCTCGACGCCCCCCCAATGCTCGTGGCCGCCGCCGTCATTGTCCACCACGTTGGGTTTCGCCGAAGTACTCGGTCCTGTCGTCCATCGGCACGCCCTGCACCCGCTGCTGTACAAGGCTCTGTGTCGCCAGCACGTTGCCAACGCGGAAACGCGCACGCATGGTCTCCTCTCCAGGGTGACCTCCTTCCCGTCACGCACCCAGGTGTCAAGCTTCGGCGTGCCAGGAATTCACCACGCGCTGCGAACTAGTCAGGGCTGGCCACCTGGGTGGGCTGGCCAATCGATTAATCATCCTTGAGTGCGAAGGTAAGGAACAGGAGGAACACTGAGCACACGAGGAACAGCACCGAATAAGCTGGAAATTGCGAGGAAGAGCGAGGAGGTGGTGGAAACGTGCGATTGGGCGGAATGGTAAAAACAATATTGGAATGATGATGCCAAGGTGGTGTTTAGATGTGAGAACGGGGAGGCGTGAGAGAGGACGTACGAAGGACAATGTACGTGTATGGCATGTTCAACGTATCTGTGTCCTACAGTTTTACAACAGATATACACATGTGCGCGCACACATCTTCTTATGTAAACATAATGAAACACGGTACACACATATGCGGATATACATGTGTACTACAACACAGATGTGGTGGAGGAGGGGTTAAGTATTCAAGGATCGGAGAGACCAGAAAGCGAGTGAGGGAGGGTGGGCCAGTCGGAGAGGGCCGCGAGGGGAGGGGGATTCAGGGGAAGGGGAGTGCATGGCAATAGGGGCAACCCTCTCGAGAAGGGGCGGCGATCGAAGAGGGGACCGGGGGGGGGGTCGAGCGCGAAGAGCAACGAGGCTCGGAGGGCCATGTCCTTCTCTCGCTTCTTGTCCTGCACCAAGTTGCGATACGTCTCGTCTGCCTGTGGCCGCCAGCGCGTGGCATCATCCTCGCGACCACTTCCTTGCCCGCCATGTCAGACAAAGTAGGTTAACACATTAAATCCGAAGGCGGACGACATAGATGGGGTTCAGGCCCTCCCAGAGAATAGCAACGCGCAACAAAACCATGCCAATTCTTGTAGGAACGCGCTTGAAGTAGCTCGGGATCGGGGAATTCAAGAATACTTACGTTCAACGACCCGCGTGTACGCCTCCCCCAACCAACCACCCCCTTCTTCCTAACCGCTATATGTTTCTTCCGCCCTCCCCCCCGTCTCACGTCAGCCTTCAGGCACCCCCGCTCCCTCCCCCGCTTATCCTGCCCCTATCCTCACCAATACCTATGTACGTGTCAACTCTTCTCTGTCTCTGTCTCTCTCTCTCTGTCTCTGCCTCTGCCTGTCTGGTTATGTTGTCTTATTTATATCTCTATGTCTTACTCTTACTTTGTCCAACGCGATGATCCAACGAATGGAAAGGGAAGAAACGGACACACGGAGGGGGACGTGGGTAGCCGAAGACCAACGAATCGATCGACGATGGGCGCGGACTCTCTCTCTCTCTATTTCCTTCTCTCTCTCTCTCTCCTCCCCTTGTCTGTGTGTGCGTGTCTCTCTCTCTCTCTCTTTCTCTCCGTCGCTCTGCGCAGCTACGTGCTGTGAAGCACTGCCCCTTCCTGGCGGCGTCCTGCCGCGCTCCTGCCCCCTCCGCGCACAACTTCCCGCGCTCAAGACTGCGCGGCACTTCTTTGTCCGCAGGGCCGAAAGCGCGGGCCGGTCGATCGGCCCAGGCGCGCCGAGCAACTCGTGGAGCCCATCGAAGGAACGGAACCGAACGAAGCAACCATGCGCCAAACGCGCGTGGGCAGACAGGTGCAACTAGGCAAGCGTACGAGCAATGCGCCAAGTAAGCGTCAGAGCGAACAAACACGTCGAACGCGTGGGGAGACAGCTCCGACACGCCAAACGCACGCCAGGAGGGCGAGGGAACGGAGAAGGCGGGGCAGAGCGACCGCGGGGAGGAGGGGGAGGAGGAGGAGGAGGAGCAGGAGGAGGAGGAGGCGGAGGAGGAGGAGGGGAGGGGGAG